TTTTTCCTTCCCTTCACTCTCATCCTGTGTGAGTCTTTTGTTCTGAGGTGGGTCTCTTGTACACAGCATATATTTTGGTCATTTTTCTTATCCATTCAGCTACCCTATGTCTTTTGACTGGAGCATTTAATCCATTTACATTTAAGGTTATTATTGATATGTACTGAGCTATTGCCATTTTAATTCTTTATGCCTATGTTTCTCTCTCTCTGATTGATTGTTTGTTTTCTACCCCGTCTTCTCATTCGCTGATCCGATCTTTAGCTTGTGTTGTTTATTCCTTCCAGTGTATTTTTTATTTCTACTATGTTTTTCTTAATTTCCTTCATAGTTTCCATATCTTCTCTCATGCTGTTGAGCATCCTTACAATCAGTATTTCGAACTCTATGTCTGATAGATTGCTTATCTCCATTTCATTTATCTCTTCTTATGGAGACATCTCTTGTTTTTTCATTTGGGGCTTGGTTTTTGTGTGTGTTTTGGGGGGTTTTGGGGGTTTTTTTTGCTTGTTTGTTTTTTAAAATATATCTTTATTGATTTCAGAGAGAGGAAGGGAGAGGGAGAGAGAGCGATAGAAACATCAGTGATGAGAGAGTTGTGTTTGGTCGTCTGCCTCCTGCATGCCCCCAACTGGGGATTGAGCCCACAAGCTGGACATGTGCCCTGACCAGGAATCAAACCACGATCTCCTGGATCCTAGGTCGATGCTCAACCACTGAGCCACACCCTGCCGGACAGGGGGTTTTTTGTCTCCCCATTTTGGCTGCCTGTTTGGGTTTGTTTCTGTGTATTAGGTAGATCAGCTAGGATTCCCAGTCTTTTTGGATGGCCTCTGGTGCAGGCCAATGTCAGACGTTTTTTGTGACTGGCATTGAGTACCCTGTTTGGCTATCAACCTTGCATAGCTTGTGGCTCCCTCGGCTGGTGCTGGGTGTGTTTTGAAAGCACCAGCATACACACCTTGGTCTGTTTTTCCAAGCCCGGGTCTAGAAGCAGATCAGGCAAAGACAAAGCACCCAGACATCCGCCTTTGCCTGCAGGCTGCCTGTAATTCTAAGTCTCTTAATGGCATCAGCTTGTAGATCATAGTAAAGTGTAAACTCCACAGGGTGGGGAGAGAGGTTTTTAATATGTGGGGCAATTGCTTCCCCTCTCCCCCAGCAAAAGCTCCCTGGGTGTTAAAGGTCTGCCTGAGAAATATGTCCTGTGGAGTAGGGGGGGATGACTTATCACAGGAATCCTAGCTTTATCCCCAGAGCCCCCAAACGTGATTCTCCTCACACAGCTCCAGTCCACTCTGCCCTCTCTCTGCTGGAGCCCAAGGTAAGTGGTTGCACATGAAACTTTGTGTGTTGACTCTTTACGAGGGGGCCTGCATTTCCAGCCACCTCTCCCTAGGAGACAGAAACCCAGCTGCTTTTCACAGGCAGATGTTATGTGGGCACCTTTCTCAGGTCTGGTGTTCTGGGCTGAGAAGCCCAGCCTGGGGTTTAGACCCCAGAGTTCTCAGTGGGAACCCCCACAGCTGAGATCTCCCTCCAGACCTTCAGCTGCTGCCTGTGGGAGCCCAGCCAGTCCTCTCGCCTCTGCACTTCCTACCAGTCTCTGTGTGGTCTCCACTTTAGGTCCTGGGTTATGAGGGTTCTTTCCAGCTCGTCTTCAGTAGGTTATTCAGGATGGTTTTTCTGTATTTTAGTTGTCATTCCAGTTTGGTCCCGGGAGAATGTCAGTGTAGCTTCTACTTAATCTGCCACCATCTTGGAATCTTATGTTTGGATTTTGATTTTTAATCCACTGTGCTACTCTGTGCCTCTTTATTCATGAATTCAGACCATTTACGTTTAGAGTAGTTACTGATGTGTGAGGATTCCCTGCGGCCACTTTATCGTTTGTCTCCTGGTAGCTCAGTGCCTCCATCAGTTCCTTCCCCTGTGCTTCTGGCTGTCATTATTTTTTCGTGGTATTCCATACTTTGTTCTTCTGTTTCCTCTTTTTTAAGCTGTGTGTCCTGGTTTGGGGAGTTTTGTGTTTAGCTACCATTAGTTTTATAAAATTAAGGTGCATAGCTACAGTATTTTTTTTCTTTTGAGTCCATCTCACGTTCATCTTCCTTTGCTGGCTCAGGCCTTTACCTCCGCGCCTTGTATGGTTTTGTTGTTGCAGATTATTTTTGTTTATGCCGTAATTTTTTTTTAATCCTCACTCGAGGATATTTCCTTCATGGCTTTTTTCTGAGAGAGTAGAAGGGGTGGGGGGACAGAGAGAGAGGGAGGGAGGGAGAGGCAGAGAGAGAGGAATTTTGACGTGAGTCACACCAGTTCCCCCGACAGCACTATTTAAGCTTCTGGTACCATGCTGTCAGCTGCGCGGAACCGCACAGAGGACGAATGGCTGCTCGCTCCTCCCGCACGGAGCACTGTGACTAACGGTCGCCAGTGCGGGCGTTTCAGTGTGTTGGTGACTGGTTATGACACATCTCTTAGTTCACACGCAGACAGCAGAGCACACGTTGTGTTGCCACCTGTCCCCAGTGATGAAAATACATGGCAGTGTACAGACGTGGGCCCTCAAAGAGGGAATGGGCCGGCAGGTTGAAAGTGCAGTGAAAATGGTGGCAGTGCTGGACGTGAGATTCCCGTAGACCTCGGTGGAGTTGCAGAAGGAACAGCTGAGTGGGGCATGTTGGAGAGACTCTTAGATGTGCAGCCAAAGGAACTTAGTGAAGATGAATTTATCAGCAGAAATGAGAGAAATGGTTACTAAGAAAAGGATGACAGTGTCCCAGAGGAAGTGACGGCAGCAGAAAGCCCTTATTTACCAGGCCCGTGACAGTCCCCAAGAGTACAAAGCTGAAATGAAAAGCTTTCCTGTGCCCTTAATCTCAATTTCTAATCCAACAAAGAGGATAGACAAATAACCAGTAAATTTTCATAGTGTTACAATTACAGTAGAACAGATATTACCAGGTTACTTCTGCTTGAGCAGCTAGGAGAATCAAGGAGGAGGTGCTCCTCACCCACGGCTGTGAGAATGCCTGGAGTTTACAGGGTCCACGTGGGGAGTGCACGCGGGCCCAGCATGGCCTGTGCCGGGGCACACAGGCACAACACCAAAGCATATTGCATATTGCACAGATAGGGTGTGTGTTACATTCCAGATTTTGGATGGTTTTATTTATATGCTATGGTGAAGAATTTTTAAAACATACTATAAAGACTCAAATACACAGAAGTAGAAAATAATGTAGTGAACACCCATGCACTTATCGTCCAGCTTCACTGTCTATCAACATTCCCCACTCTTCTCTCTCCTGGTTCTCCCAGCCGTTCTTATCTCTAGTATTTAAAAGCGACACGTTATTCCAACCATAACTACATGCTGAAGAGTTTAAACTCTGCACAATGGAGAACTTAGCAGGGTTTCTAAGGAGTGAGAGAGCTGAGGTTAGCAGCTCATCGTTGCTCTTGGGGATATGTGATAAACATACTGGAGGGAGGGAGGACCAGGGTCAGGGGCCAGATAGAAGATGGTTTTATTGTAACTCAGGTAGCAGTGCTGAAGATGGGTACAGAGAGATCATTAAGAGTGAATTGTCTCTAAACAGTAGCCTTGGAGTGGAAGGATGAAGTGAAAAGCTTCCGAGGGCTTCTTAGGGTGGGAAGTGTGGGTGGTGGTCAGGTTTCCAGCTGTCCTGCCTTATCTGTTGATGCTTCTTTCCTCAGTTTCAGTTACCCGTGGTCAATTGCAGTCTGAAAATATTAAATGAAAAACTGCCGAAGTAAACAGTTCATAAGTTTAGATTGCACACCATTCTGAGTACCATGGTGAAATCTCGCACAATCCCACCTGGCACGCAAATCATACTTTGTCCAGAGTGTCCACACTGTACAGTGGATAAGATATTTTGACAAAGAGAGATCACATTCACATGTTTTATTACAGTATATATTATTACTAGTTATTGTTAGTCTCTCACTGTTTCTAATTTATAAATTAAACTTAATCATGGGTATGTGCGTATAGGAAAAAACATGCCATATACAGGATTTGGTACTATCCGTGGTTTCAGGCATCCACTGGGGATCTTTGGAATGTATTCCCCATGGATAAAGGGGGGACTGCTTGCTGTAAAGGGAATAGTATGCATCTTAAATGTCCTAATAGAGAAGTCCATTTGGCTGTAAATATGGAGCTCAGAAGAGAGAGATTGGAAATCTGTTCGTAATGTGCAGACAGAGCATGTGAAATGAGGACTGTGGCACCAGCAGGGTCTGAGGATCAGGACTGTGATCACCTCAGAGGACCCTGAGGTCAAACAGGAAATTGATACGGAAGTGTCCAGCCAGCAAGTGACTGGCACATAGTAAATGTGTTTCTTTATTTCCTCTGCTTACGTGTGGTCTTGTCTCTTGCTTCTCCTTAGCCTCAACTCTGTTGTCAAGTTGCATTATCTCCTTCCTGAGCCAACAGGAAGACACAGAGCTTGAGCTTGTCTTATGGACCTTGGGTGTGTGCATACTTGTTCTGTTTACCCTGTCAGCTTACAGGCAGTTTGAGAGCAGAAGGTGTGTATTTGTTTGGGTGTCTTCATTGCACCAGTTAATTCACAGCTTTGTGCATAACGGATGTGCTGTACATATTTATTAAAATGAATCAAGTCCCGGCTTCTTCTCATATGCTTGATGTATATTCATCTTAAGGGCCAACACGCACGCACGCACGCACGCACGCTCTCTCTCTCTCTCTCTCTCTCTCTCTCTCTGCCACTTTTCCAGTTTTTCCCAGAAAACAAGCTCTTACCCCTTTCTTCCCTAACAGTGTGTTTAGAAATTTTGTTAGAAATTTTTTTAATGATAGTTTGTATTTAATGTTTCAAATTATTCTGTTTGGGGACGAACAAAATGAACTGCAGCGTTTAGAAATTCATTTAGAAAATAAGAATTACAGGTAATTAGGGGATTGCATCATAAATCTGACCTTTGCTTGTTTTCTTCTCCAGGGCCTGCTCTCTTTCCTGAGTGCCCCGCTCGTAGGAGCTATGTCTGATGTGTGGGGGAGGAAGCCCTTTCTCCTCGGCACCGTCTTCTTTACCTGCTTCCCAATTCCACTGATGAGGATCAGCCCATGGTGAGTGGCTCAGCCTTTCTTCATCATGACTGTTTTGGTCATGTGTGAATAATACATCTGCAGACCACTTCTTAACCATTTCAAAGCAGTCTTATCTGTGTTTTCATTTGATCTCTTTGGTAATACTGAAAGCCAGTTTTGGCAGGTGCCATCTTGCCCATATTATAATGGGGAGATGAAGAGATTACATAATAGTATGAGGTGAAGAAATAGAAATAAAAGCTGTAGTTGCCATGAAGTCATTTACAGGATTTGGGTCTTGGGAGAGGGCTGAGGATCCCACACACCGGTATGGCTCAGTTGACTTTGCAAATGTAACTGTTTTTGTCAGTTCATCGGTCTATGGCACTGATATGAACATAATTTATGTCATAAATGGCAGGGGTCACTTGTGCATAATGTAGTCAGACCAGTAACCTATTCTAAATCATAATACAAACTTTTAAAACAATTTTTATTTACTGATTTTGAGACAGAGAAACATGGATTTGTTGTTCTACTTTTTCATGCATTATTTGGTTGCTTCTTACATGTGCCCTGTGCAGGGATCAAACCCACATCCTTGGTGTATCAGGATCACGCTCTAACCAACTGAGCTACCCAGCCAGGGCCATAATATGAATTTTAACTTGATCTCATTTTTTTGTGATAAATAGGGAGAGAATATTTAGCATGTAAACAAGTCTAGTTAGTTACCAAAGATGGGTTGGAATTCGCACCTGAGTAACATGGTTATTTTTCTGGAGTACAGAGGATGGTGTTTTGACCAAAATTCCTGTTGCTAATCTCAGCAATGTGAAAGACACACCTTAGAATGGAAGGTTTTTGGGTTTTGGTTTTTAATGCAATTAATAGATTTTTTTATTTACTCATTTGAAAATTCCCTCATTTTATTACTTGATAGAGATTTTATTTATTTTTAAATATATCTTTTTTGATTTCAGAGAGAGGAAAGGAGAGGGGGAGAGAGAGAGAGAAACATCAATGATGAGAGAGTTGTGATTGATCAGCTACCTCCTGCACACCCCTGACCTGGGATCGAGCCCGAAACCCAGGCATGTGCCCTCACCAGGAATTGAATCATGTTCTCCTTGATCATAGGTTCAATGCACAGCTGCTGAGCCACGCCCAGCTGGGCTCGATAGAGATTTTATGTCAACGTAGTCATTATGGCCTAAATTTGTGCCCATCCTGGACGTGCATTTAATCTCCTACCAGATGAAGAGTTTTTAAGTACTTCTTGGTATTGTCTTTCTGTCCAGGAGCATGACATGCTGTTCTAATGAGTTCACATTGTTTTTTTAATGTCCTCTGAATACCTTAAAAATGTTTTCTAGATCTTTAAATGATTTTACCTCTTCTCTCCCAGTTTTCATGATGCTACTTTCACCACTTGTATTGACTAATGAATAATGGTGAATAAAAGTAGTGACAGCAGACTTACCTTCCTAATAAAGAAAGCTTTGTAATGTTCTGTCAGTAAGTGTTAAGCTAGCTTTTATGTTAGCTTTTAGATTGAAAAATACTCATTTCTGTTTTATCCAAAGATTTTCTTTATTAAAATCAAGATTGGATGTCAGATTTTATTACATCCCTTTTTTGCATCAATGGTAATCATTTGATTTTTCTCTGTAGATCTGTTACCATAATGAATTATATTAATGTATTTTCTAATATTGAAACATTATTATATATCTGGAATGAACCCTACTTTTTGTTCTGTAAAGTTCTGTTTGCTAGTATTTTAGCTAGATTCTTTTAAAGCATCTATACATGTGATGAAAAATTTTGGTCTTAATTACATTGATATTTTTTGTTACCCTGTCTGCTTTTGTGTAGCTCTTGTAAAGTCGTTTGCTGTATATGTCCTTTTCTTTTCTTTTTTTAAAAAATATATCTTTATTGATTTCAGAGAGAAGAAGGGAGAGAGAGAGAGAGAGAGATAGAAACATCAATGATGAGAGAGTCATTGATCGGCTGCAGCCCGCAATCCAGGCATGTGCCCTGACCGGGAATCGAACCCTGATTGCCTGGATCCTAGGTCGACGCTCAACCGCTGAGCCACGCCCGGCTGGGCTGTATATGTCCTTTTCTTAACTAAAGCTAGGAAATTTAGAAAGATTTTATTTCTCTTTTAGCTTCCTTTAAAACTATAACTTATTTAAACTGCATGTACTGACACCCTTTGCACAGTAACAAAATTAGCATTTTTCTACTTCTTTCTCTCCATCTTGATTATAATTTTATTAGTTGTCCTTTATATCTTATACATGGATATAAATAAATTTTTTTCTGGGTTTATAATCTACATGATATCTTTGACTCTGGTTGCAAAAATGTATACCCATACTACCTCTCTCCTGGGTAACTGAAATGATCTTTTTATAGGTGGCATTTTGCAATGATTTCTGTGTCTGGAGTCTTCTCGGTCACATTCTCTGTGATATTTGCCTATGTAGCTGATGTCACTCAGGAGCACGAGCGAAGTACTGCTTATGGATGGGTAAGATAATAGATTTTGGTTTTTAACCAGAGAATTAATTAGCATTCTATTAAAAGTTCAATGAAAAATGAGATTTAAAATAAGTAGTATATATTGACATATAAAAGAAAATCTAAAGTAACTGAAATAAAAAATGAGACTTAAAAAAGTTAAAAATAGCAAGATAGAAATTACTATTAATTCTCTGATTTTAGGGTTAGAAGATTATCAGGAATGTCAGAGTTGTCAGTTGCAAAGTTTTTTAAAAGTTGATTTATTGTTAGATGATCTCTTGACAATCATAAACAATAAATAGGTTAGAATTCTCTGTGCACCTAATTTGAATTGGAGAGGTGTAAGAACCTCAGACATGTTAATCTGTTGTTGTTATATTACTGGTTGTGTGGCTCAGTCACTTATTTGGGATGTAGTGCTACAGAAAAGGACTACACTCATTCAGCAAATAATTTTTGTTTTTTAATATATCTTTATTGATTTCAGAGAGAGGAAAGGAGAGGGAGAGAGAGACAGAAACATCAATGATGAGAGAGTCATTGATCGAGCTCGCAACCCGGGCATGTGCCCTGACCGGGAATAGAACCCCGATCGCCTGGATCCCAGGTTGACGCTCAACCGCTGAGCCATGCCCAGCTGAGCTCAGCAAATAATTTTTGACAGCAATGCAAAAGTTACAGGATACCTTTTCTTTTTGGATAATTGATTATTAGACAATTGATAATTTCTAATTTTCCTAGGCATGATAATGGCATTGTGATCATGTAGGTGAAGAAAGACCTGTAGACGATGACAGGCTGAAACTGTTTATGCCAGAGTGTCACATATCTGAGAGCTGCTCAACTGGTTCAGGGGGAAAAAAGGGTGTGTGGGCCTATTGGGACGTGTGGGTGTTATTGGAGTGGAAAAATTTTCCTGTCCTTACCTTCTAGGTTCTTTGACTGACCAAATAATTAGATTGACATAGGGCAGATTAACAGGAGAAAAACAAATTTAATTTTATGTGTACAAGAGCCCCACAAAGACATGAGCAACTCAAAGGCAGTCAGACATTTGAGGCTTATATGTCATCCTGAGCTAAAGAGAAAGGGGATAGGGTCCTGGGGCTTCAAAGGGGGAGGAAGACAGTTTGCAGAAAGATGAGAAGAGCAAACGATTGGTAAACAAATGTTTGCCCTGCCATGCAGATGAGTTTTTCTGATACAAAAAGTAGTCTTTGGTCATGGACCTTTTTCTGGTACAGGCTCCCCATCTAAATTTATTTTAGGCTGTCCAGGGAGAAGTACAAAGCTTCTCCTGAGTCTTTGGGTCTTAACTGCCTTCAGCTCAGAACAATCCACATGCCATGTGGCACATTTGGGGTAATATATTCTGCTTCCCCCTAATGTGTACTGTGCTCTTCCCTCCACTTTCCTGTGTTTGAAAATGTTTACAGAAAGAAGGTAGAAGAAGAAAAATTACCTGGCTGGATTGTTGAATAGTTTGGAGGGGGATTGAATGCCAGAAACCCAGGTTACTTCTCTCTTTTCCCAAGTCTTACCTTTTCTTCTAAATCCCACTTCCTGGGAGATAGTAAGCAGTCATTCAGTGTTGACTGATTGAATGAATAATTGCACAAATCAGTGATGGACATATAAGTCAGTTACTGCTGTCCCACAAAACACAATAGCCATTTTTACTTTGTTGATTTTAGACCTCAATAGTTTAAAAAATTTCCCTTTCAACCCCACTTCCCCTCTAGCTACTACCTGCCCTCTCCTCCCTTCCTCGTTCCCTCCTCTCCTGAATGTCTCCTGTCATGTCCTAAAACCAGGGCGTCTCTGGAGTGCAGAGTGGAGTACAGAGGGAGCAGGTAAGACACCGTCATGGGAGGCAGGTGCTCAGGATGGCTCCTAGAGGCCAGTCAATAGAGAAATCTAGGGGTACCAAAGCCTCTTAGCACACTTGTGCACATGTTCTCTACACTGTAGGAAACACCCATTGAGATACTCATTTCCCTCCAATTTTACTAGATTTTTGTTCCTTGCTTTCAGAAGAAAAACCAGTCACAAAGCTGTTGTGCTGAGCATTAGGGCTTTAAGGAAAGATTTCAGAGAAAGTTCTGGAACCAGCGACTTAGCTCCGCTCACTAGCTGAGTTCTTCATCTGTAAAATAATACCTGTCCATAGGGGTGTTGAGAGGTCAGCGAGAGAAGCGCCAGGCAGAACTATAGGGCTCACTTCTCTAATAATGGAGGAAGATTGGGACAAGTGGGCAGTAGTGGAGGGAGAGGTGACAGGAGGGAGTCCTGAGCACAGAATGCCCTAGCTGAATCGGGCTGTCAGTAGTAAGGGTGGGCCTGCCTCTCTCTGTCTGAGGACATCTGCCCTGCTGTGCCGTCTAACTCAGGTGTGAAACTTTTGACTCTCCATGTACATGGACTTGTAAATAATAATGCTTGTTTCTTCCTCTGTTTTGCAAGACTTAAAAAGTCCCATCAAGATTTCTGCCTTTATTTTGTTTCCTCCATGGCACTTTACAAATATTTATATTACGGAAATACCAGAAAATAATTGGAGCACTTCCTTAGAACACTGTTGCAAGGTGCACCACCTGGATGGGAAAGATGAATTTTACAGTTACAGTGGTTCGGAACACACCATTTAATAATGAGCATTAATCTCACAGTCAATATTTCTTTCTCCTATACATCCGAAGTAGCTATTGTATCCCCTCCAAATTGAGGGGGCGGTTAGGTGCTTATAAAAGGCAGTCATTTTATATTCATGTATTATACTCATGTATCATATGTATTCTTACATGTTAAATCATTGTTACATAGATAAGATTTGGTCACTAAGAGCAATGGAGTTAAATTATTAAGTTACTGACCAGTTGTTATTTTAGAAATTGTCCAAACTAGCTAGAAGGTAGTTGTGATAAAATGCCTTTTTGGCAAATAATGGTATAATGATTGAGTGTTTTCTTTTGTGTACTCTATAATCTTTAAATTCTTTACACTTGGAATGCTTTGGATTATAAAAAGCAGTTTCAGCTAATATTTAGCAGCTATAAGTCTGACTATATTTTAGAGAGATTGGAAAATGGCTTTTCTATTTGAACTTAAGATGGTTATTTAACATTTTTATTGCTGTTTATCTGTATGTTGTGTGATAGAGTATCTTTGCAGTTTACATACAAAATCAGAGAAGATTAGATAATGGAAAACTTATGAGTAAATGAGTGATTGACCCTTGCTGTGCAGGTATGTTGTGCACTCGAGGACACTGCAGCACTGTTCCTTAGTGTGTGAGGTGCTGCAGCAGTGATCCCTCGGCTGTTTGCATGTCATTGCAATTTATAATGTCGTTATGCCGTTGCCTTGATGTCTTGAATAACATGGAAAAACCTGAAGAACAGGAGCTCTATCTTCTTACTCATCTGGTACATAGGAAGTATTCAGTAAATACTGAATCCAGGAGTTTCTGTTCCCCAAATCGGAATTCTGTACACCCCCTAATGAGCATAGGGATACATACATCTTTTCAAATTAGTGTTTTAATTTCTAAAGAACCTCTGTAGTGGCTGCACCAATTTGCAGTCCCATCAACCATATATAAGTGGTCCCTTTTCTCCATATCCTTCCCAACACTTGTTGTTTGCTAATGTATTGCTAATAGCCATTCTGACAGGTATGAGCTGATATCTTATTATAGTTTCAATATCTATTGCTCTGATAATTAGTGATATTCAGCATATTTTCGTATGTCTCTTGGCCACCTGCATGCAAACTATCTCTAGAGAAATGTCTGTTCAGGTATTCTGCCCATTATGTTCAATTTATTCTTAAATATTTGATTTGCGTGTGCTATCTTTATGATGTGTTTAAATATTTCATTTTCTTTTTTAAATTTATCTTTATTGTTGAAAGTATTACAGGTGTCCCAGCTTTCCCCCCTCCTTCCACCTTGCACCGGTGTCCCCCTGCACCACACTATTGTCTGTGTATGCCATGGGTTATGCATATATGCATATAAGTTCTTTGGTTAATCTCTTCCCACAAACCTCCATCCCCACCTTCCCTCAGAGATTTGTCAGTTTGTTTATCAGTTTATTTTGTTCATTAGATTCCACATATGAGTGAGATCATGTGATACTTGTCTTTTTCTGACTGGCTTATTCTCTCCTGGTCCCTCCATGCTGTCTCAAAGGTTAATCGAGCCTTTTTCACAGCTGCATAGAATTCCATGGCATAAATGTCCCATAGCTTTGTTATCCACTCATCTACTGATGGGCACTTGGGCTGTTTCCAAACCTTAGCTACTGTAAATTGCGCTGCTATGAACACAGGGGTGCATATATTCTTTCTGATTAGTGTTTCGGGATTCTTAGGATATATTCCTAGAAGTGGGATCACTGGGCCAAAAGGCAGCTCCATTTTTATTGTTTGAGGAACGTCCACACTGTTTTCCACAGTGGCTACACCAGTCTGCACTCCCACCAGCAGTGCACCAGGGCTCCCCTTTCTCCACATCTTCGCCAGCACGTGTTGTTTGTTGATTTGTTGATGGAGCCATTCTTACAGCTGTGAAGTGATACCTCATTGTGGTTTTAATTTGCATCTCTGATGATTAGTGACGTTGAGCATTTTTTCATATGTCTCTTAGCCATCTGCACGTCCTCTTTGGAGAAGTGTCTATTCAGGTCCTTTGCCTATTTTTTCATCAGGTTGCTTTTTTGGCGATAACTAGTATGAGTTCCTTATATATTTTGAACACTAATGCTCTGTTGGGTGTATCATTGACAAATATCTTCTCCCATTCAGTAGGTTATCTTTTCATTTGCGATGGTTTCCTTCACTGTATAGCAACTCTGTAGTTTACTTACTTTTTCTTTGCTTCCCTTGCTGAAGGAAAGCTACCACTAAGATACTGTATGTCAAAGAGTTTAGTACTCTTGTTTTCTTTTGGGAGTTTTATGGTTCCTGGTCTTACCTTTAAGTCTTTAATCCGTTTTGAATTTATTC